GGAACGAGTGGGAACCCCCCCCCCCCCGACCACTAAAGTAGAGCGCAGAGGAATGGAAACTTGTCACGTCTATGTAGGCTTAAGAAGCTTCACTAAATAAACACGGTGAAGATGAAAAAAGTCCTCCCGTGGACGAGCTGAGAGCTTACCGTTTGGTTTGCAGCCGTGCTCCGGTGCGTCTCTATAGTCTAACGGAGATGAAATGAGCCAAGGTGGGAAAGGATGCAGAGGTTCATCTGAGCTCAACGTGAGCTCTGTGCACTTAGCCCGGCCTTTCTCTCCGTATCCCCCTCCCTCTCTCTCTCTCTCTGCCTCCATTACTTTCTAGCCTTTCTAGCCTTCAGACGACAGTCACCCTAAAAGCCTACTATTTTGGACGATAGTGACCACTGAGTAGCTACTGTACCACACTACCGTCACTAATAAATTCCTTTCATGGTTTTTTTTGTTTGTTCCCATATACCAAATGCTTTCTAAATCACAGCAATGGTTTGTAATAACCACATTTGTCATCATAGTTTTCTAAACAACATGCAAATCATTTAAGCCCCTTCAGTATTTTCCGGTTAGGCTGCATCATTTCCCTGAAGCCACGCAGTGTTTTGCATAATCATCCTCAATAGGTTTGTGCTTTTCCAAGGGTTTCACCCAGAAGCAGAGCCAGAAAATTGCTACTCAAGGATGCATTAAAAATGAAATTTCAGCAGTGGTCTCCTCCTACCTGCTCAAAACGTATAAAATGACTGTAATCACCCCCATATTTACACTTTGATAGCACATTTTCTCCAGTGAGTTCAGTGAGTCAGTTGTTAATTCCGGGTTTTTCTTAGGAACAATTTGATATTCAGAACGTTTCATTTCAGTAAGTCAGACTCCCATTAAGTCTTGACTTTGAGCTGATTTTTATGAAAATTCTTTCTGATAAATAATAATAATAATAACTTTATTGGCATAGTACTTTTCTAACAATAGTTAAAGAGCTTCACAGAACCAGGATATGCCAAACACTGTGTAAATATAATGTAAGTATTAAACACAACACAACAAAAACAGCAAACAAACAAAATCACTCAAAATGTAGGCACAATATAAAATAAGCTTCGCTCACTACTGACAAAAGTTAGTAGAACGTTTTCCATGGTTAACGTGATAATATCTGTACAAGTGTGTTTGAATGTTGAGAGTGAGGGGACCAGCTTGAATACCTCTTTCAAGGCATTTATAAAAGTGCTGTGCAACGTGTTTTAGGGAATGATAAACTCTTATGGCTGGCAGAGGAGCTGCTGACATATTTGAATAAAACGCTGGACTTATGTGCAGTTCTGAGAGATATGATCTGAAAAATAGGATGATCTTGCTTCTTTAAATGCTATGTGATATTTATACATGTAGCATCACAAAATTTCAAAGTTAACTTATAATTTGTTTGCTTCCCGTGACTATTCGAGTGTGGCCATTAAACTGGAGCCGGGCTCTGGGTTTATAATTCTTGTCTCTCAGAGGAGCAATAGTGCCTAAAATAGCTATACTGTTAAATGACCAACTAGCGCTTCAGTGGTGAAAAGAGACATAAAAAAGGAGCAAATGTTAATGGCAGCTGTAAAGCCATCACAGACTCATTGCCAAGAAGCAAGATCTTAATTGACCATACTTTGGAACAGGGGAGTGGACTTTGTTTATGTGACCTGTAGACTAGAACACAGAGGACAGGAGTTTTACTTGTGACTAAAAAGCTGAGCTATCCTGCCAAAGGAAGTTGGAGTCCATATATGTTTCTTTTTATAAGATGACTGCCAGGTCACCTCTGCTCCACCATGGATTTGGCTGATAAAGATGTGAGCAACCAGGAGGAGTTGCTTCAATTAGTGATCAAGAATCCCTTTAACAGAACCACTGATCTGAACCATTTCCTGCTTTGCCTTTATGCAAAAACATCAATATTTCTGGCCCCCTGTATTGCCTAGGCTGAATAAATACTTTATTATTACTTACTTATTTCAGTTTACATGACCTTCATCGGGTATGTAGAAAAAACATTTCCTCCTTTCACTTATGTACATCATCTGTTATCTGTTACCCCCAATAATCCCATCAGAGGAAGAGAAGAAGGCAGGGCTCAGATCAGTACATCTGAATCACCTTTGTCAACAATGTCCATAAATATATACACACACATATATCTTACAGCATATAGAGAGGCAATCCTTTGCCCTTATGCAAACATACTGCAAAATCCTTCAGCTGCACACAATCTAAATGTAAAATCAGGGTTGAGATTTCCCTCAGGAATAATGGTGACCAAATTTTTTTTCTTTTACATTTTAGCATAATTTATCCCATAACTCATGGTAAAGAATATATTTGTTTCTCATCCAGATATTTGAGATCATTTTAATTTGAAACAAAAGAGAATTTGATCTTTTGATGAAACAGTGCTTTCCACACACTGGCAGAATCACCTGGTTTGAGTGTCTCGACTCTGTAAAACGTGATCATTCATCTACAGAGTGCAGTCTTGCTTTCTGCATCAGTTTCTTGATCTTTCTTCAGGTCCTACTCCTCACTAACAAACAGGTTGTGCTTAGACAAGTGTTCGGTGATACTGTATGACTAGAAAGAAAACTTGCACCCCTAAGGTTACTCCTCAGATCCTTTGAACTCAGCTGGGTACAGAGGTTTATTAATGCAGCTTTATTTATTTATTATTTAGGTTTATTAATACTGTGTAAGCACGCACCAAAGTCAAGCAGTAATCGATGTGTGAGTAAGGATTTGAGAGCACACAGGGACAGATTTGTAAGTACAAAACATTCTGGACAAAAAATGTGAGAGCAGCTGTCAAAGAATTTTCAGCAAATATCTGGCCTTTAGGATCATAGTGCATGTTTTCAAAGTTCTGTTAGACAAATACAAGGAAAAAACTGATGTACTGATGTAACTTAGAAGTCAGGGTCTGTGACATTTCACTCCTTGGTCAAATCCGGTGGAGCTTTCATGCAAAGAGTGGAAACAGACAAAACCAAAGAGAAAGCCTTAACTGAGTCAAATTTCGAGTCACAGTTGGTCTTGCAGGTTCAAAACTTACATATAAATTCACAATTCTGTCTTTGTTCATTATTAGATCTGTAGTTTGTCCCTATGAACATCAAAATCTGAACCACCCAGTTGGTTTCCGCTTGTTTTTTGTCTTTCACTCGCTCAATATTTTTGTCATTTTAATGAACTTCCGAAGATGGGAATTATGAATGAGGTTGGGGAGGAAGGGAGGCTTTCTCATCATACTCAAAACTGCCGTCGTACTAATGCAGGGTTAGGGAGACACTTATCTGCCTCATGTTGCTTTTTGGAGAAACACTAAGCACTGTCACACACACACTGCCTTTAGCACATAGACATAGCCACTGCACACATATGTCAAACTCATCATATCTGCATGGAAAAACACAATACTATGCACCACTGCAGCATTTTGACATCTATTATAATCCATATGCTGAGGCAGGGTTGAACAGTGTGGATGACGGTGATCAACTCAATTACATTTACCCCAGTATTCTTCATGGAGTCATTCTCACTTGAATAATTACCAATATGCTTAATTTACTAGCACACTGTTTAAACAGAACGAACAGGCTAATTCAGCAGAATCTGATGCATTCATTATATTAGTGAAGTGTCAAACTTTAGAAGTATTTTGGCAGCAGACACAAATCAGTTTTCAGCTGCTTACCTTTTACTTTCCACAGCTAAATTTGTGCTCTTACACAAGGCGATACATTATGACCTGAAGCCTCCAGACACTTAGATTTTTGGACCGTTCACTGTGGTATTCTTTCTTCTTCTCTCTGTTAACAAGGCTCAAACACAGGCAGTAGTAGGTTGTAATTATCTTGCCTATTTGAAATGATTCACAATGAAATGCCAGCCAGCAGTGCACCATTCAAATACATCTTATCATCAGCACAAACAAAACATCAGCTGTTTAATAGAGGGCGCGTGATGCATGACCAAATTATTTGAGAAATAGCCTGGGGGATGCAACTGTCTGTCCTGTTCTTTAATTTAGTATCTGCTACAAAGAAGTCATCATGTCTCTCCAAAATACTCCCCAGTGTTAGCCTTTCTTTTCTCAAGCCATTTTTATGTTTCATGTGCTCACTCGGACAAAGTCAGGTCCTGTCTCATTCGTCTCTCTAGTCTTTCCCTTTCTCTGTAATATTCCTCTTTCAAATCCTCTCTACTCCTGCGAGACCATCCTTTTGAAGAGATGTGATAGATATCTACATTGTTTCCTGAGTATGCATCCCTGTGTGTGGCTCTGTACACAGCCTCTCTGGCAATTGATGTGGCCTCTTCCATTGTCAGTCCCCATTTAACTCCTTGGTCCAGTATTGAGTAAGCATAAGGGGATCCTGAGCCCACAGAGAAGAGTGTTCCCTGCAGGCGAGTACCGTCACTGCACACATAAAACAGCCTGGGTCCAGAGAAACTTGTTTTCTTTCTGGTGAAGACCTGTTGACCACCAGGAGTTGAAGAAGAGCTCTGAGTCTTTGCCTTTGCCAAAGAGAGCTTATCAGGACTGGTGTCTGCAGACTGTCCCAGACCCCTTGTTGCTTCTGTGTAGTCGCCAAGGTCAGTCTCTGTATCCTCATTATGGCATCGATCTATGTCTCCTCCATCCCACCCACACAGTGTGGCAGCCACACACAGCTCAGTTCCCTTAAATGGATGAAGCATGTGAGAAAGCAGTTTGGCAGCTCCGCCTGTGGACAACCGCCGACCGTGGCGGAGTTGGTAAAGCCGCAGTTCTCGAGACAGAATGCGTTTCCAAAGAGCACAGTCTGCTGAAGTACCAGAAGTAGTGCCCACAAGATGGCTGTGAATGGGCAGGATCTTCTGGGAAGCTGGGCACGCCACGAGTCCAGAGCAACTGGAACGAGTGTCTGCTGCAGCCAACACACCGCCCTGAAACACGAAAGCCAAGGTGGTGGTGCCATGAGACATAGGGAAGGGCAGAGGGACAGACTGAGAAGGAGCAAAAGGAAGGCTTGTGGGTAAGAAGAACGATGGCAGGACGCAGTCCTGAGGTGAGAGGGTGCTGAAGCTCTGGACAGTGCTAATTTGCCCAAACTGTATTGGACTTTCCTCCAGGTACTCTGCAACTGGAATGTAAAAAGTAAACAGACCTGTGCTGTTGCCAAAAGGAAAACCACTCACATAGTTACAACCAGTCTTCTTTCCACCAGGCACCAGACAATGTCTGGCCGTTCTGCTGTCCTGAAAGATGTCTTGGAATTTGCATAGATCCTGCAGAGCCATTTAAAATGATTATTTTTTCGCCCAAGGAAACCCTCCCTATGCTCATTAAAAATATTTGTATCAGTAGTCTGACAACAGGTTACATGCCATCCAGAGTTGTAGCAATAACCTGTCTATTGTAGACGCAGCCACCCTTTATATAGACAATAAGACTGCATCCATCTGCATGTGGTCATCTTTAACCACCCATCAGCAACAGTCACCAACGCCTCATTCCTCTGACTTTGAAGCATAAAAAGCAGTAGCCCATGGGTAATTAATTTTGCCTGTGGTATCAGGTTGTTTTTCAGATCAAATTTCTTCAAAGTCTTGTGTGGGCGAAGGCCAGAAACCAGGGAGGGTGATGGTAAGGCCTTCGCTCCAGCACATCAAATTAAGTTAGACGCTACACTTTGATGCACCACTCCCATGGAAAATTCCCAAACAGAATCAGGAATAAAATGAATGAAACAACATTTTTGTCACACAGCAGAGTGCCCTGAACCAAGCCTGTTAGGTATTGTACTGTAG